CTTCACGAGAAGTGTCAACTGAGGACATAACAGCTCGTGCTTCGTCATCGCATGAACCAAGAAGAGCTATGTAAAGTAGTTTATCCTGTCGCACCCAAAATAAGTACAACGGATTTGGGATGGAAGTATCACCATTAGAGATGGTTGCAGGGGGACAAGGTGTAGCCCTAGAAACATAGCCTTCTAAATCTCTAGCAATAAGTAGAGAGGTAACCTGTTTGTACCAAGCGGGATAATTGGTGGAGTTTAATTTTATTGGAAGGTAAGTGGGAGTATTAAATTCCACAAGATCCTTTGGAGTAGAGGAAAGTAGGGAAGCATCAGAGGTGCTGGATGTGGAAGCCATGGAGATCGAAAGAAAAAGGTGTCGTGAGGCTAAGGCAATTCTGATACCATATAAAAGATAAAAACAGAGAAAGCATTTTAATGGCTTTCTTTCATTAAGATATATGAGGATATATATACACAAAGGAAATAACAACCTGATCTTAAGATAAGAAAGATAACAGACAGATTATAACAACTTTGCCAATTTAAATTTAAAATGCAAACAACATTGGATGATGGTTGATAACAGACTGGCAATTAGATAATATTCCAACATGTATAACTTTTATGTATCTTTGAAATTTTTTTTTCACCAATTCTTATCTGAGGAATAGTATCTTTCGTGCTTAAGATGAAGAAGGTTTTTAGTGTTTGTTGGACACGATGCTTAAGTGATGCAAGCTACAAAATAAGTTGAAGAAGACATCATAGATGGCATATTAGTTATGCAATTTTCTTTGAAGGGGTCATGCGAAATTACATCATATACGAATATTAGTGTGTAGGTTTCATTTTGAGGGATTATTTCATGGAGAATGTTTTAAGTTTTTTTCTTTTTTGATGCAATGGTTCTCTTAACAAGAGAAGTCTATGGTAACAAATGGTGAAGAAGCTTCCATAGATGTTTAAACCATTACTTTATATCAACTTGCTTTTCTAGCTTGGTTTCTTTTGTTTCATCATTTCAAACTTGTATGCTATTAAACTAAGCATTGAGAAAAGGCTGGCAAATTTCTCCTATTATTGATTGCCAAGGGAATGAGTGTACTTTTCACAAATTGGAATAGTTTATTTAAGTGAAAGCTTGAATTATTAGAAACTAAAAATTGTTGGTTGTATTGAGAAAAATATAAATCCTACATCAATTAGTAATTAAATAATATATAAGTAAAAAATAATTTTCACCTTTCAAGCAGATTTTGTAGGATTAAGCTCAAATTTACTATTCTAAAATGGTATCAGAACATGTAAGATTGTAACGACCTAAACACCATAATGACAAGAGATTTTAGACTCTTGATGAGAAGGTTGTGTGAAAAGGAATACACACCAGTAGGTAAGGAGGAATATTGGTGACCAGTCAAAAAGTTTTCTTTCATCAAATATCTTAGAAGGGCTTATTGGTAATTTAAAATATTTTTTTTAAAAAAAGAAAATGGTATTTTTATTTCTCCCCAATGGACCATTTATAAAACTTTCCCACCTTAGCAAGCGCCATTAAGGTTCATGTGGTGAACTACAACATATGGTTCACGTGAACAAGGATAAAAATCGATTGTATCCGATATAAAAAAAAGGTTCTTGGTTAATTTTATTAATTAATAAATTATTTAAAATTCCAATTTAACCTTGTTTTATTATTTTGTTTAAGGAAATAAAATATGAATGTCATGCCTTGGGTTTACTCCAACGATATTTTCTTATTGTTGAAAATTTATCCATCGCTGAAAATTTTTGTCAGTTTCGAAGTGTAGGGATTTGTCGTCACGGTTTTGCCTCCATAATGCAACGCAACCTCTCCGTCCCATATGAGATTATGGTTCTTAATAAAATGATACACCACATAAAAGGACAAGTTACTTGTAAATAATGAAGGATATTTGGGTAAATTGATATGTGACCAAAATTAAATAAATAATTTTAATTAAAATTACATGACAATAAATGGTAAATGATCATGGAGGTTCAATTCTTTTTATTGATACTAATGGTGTTGACAAAGTTCACCACCGATGAACCGTTTCATTTTACCATAAATTAGTGTTAGTCCACTAGCACATTTAAATGGAGTTTACCATAGATTTTGCCTCAATAAAACACAAATTAGGTGCCTTGTTATCAGAAATATCATTAATACCTATAACATCAATTTTATTACCACTTATCTTGTTCTACCTTTAGTGCTCAAGCGTTGATGTTATACATGTGAAACCATTCGAGATTGAAAGAATTAAAGGAGCTTAAATCTTGAAAAAAAATTCAATTTCCATAAATTATTATTCCAATCATGTTTTTAACTTTTGGAAGAATGCTTCTAGCACGAAGAATTAAAGTAGATGCCTCATGGATGAGGCACTAAAATGACCGGGAATAAGAGATTTTCAATTGAAAAAATATTAAAAAAAATTACAAAAATATTTGAAGAGCCATGACAATGTTGCGCCTACAATTGGCCATGGTGATGATGTTGTGCATGCTGCCACGGTGACGCGTGCAACCATGGTAATGACGTTATTTGTACAGCCATAGTGACGTGTAGCCACGGTGATGATGCTGCTTGTGCCACCATGATGACGATGCTGCTTGTGCGGCCATGGTGACGATGCTGCTTGTGCAGCCAGGGTGACGCTGCATGCAACCACAGTGACAACACTGCGTGTGATGGTTTGACGGGGATGAGTTGAGAAAAAATATTTTACCAATTATTTGGGTTGCCTTTCTTCAATCTCTTTACATTAATTTTTTTTTATTAATATATCAAATGGCTAAAACTAATGGATGTACCACTTAATTAGGTACTTCACCTTAGAATTTATGCTTTTCAAATTGGGTAAACGTGATTTGGATTAAGTATTCTGAAACACGTTTTTAACTTTATGAAATGGGTGTTTCATAAGTTATTGAATATTACGCATAAAATGTTTCAAAACATATTTTTAATATTTTGGATTAGGTGTTTTGAAACATTATTGCATTCTAGATTTTAGGATGGACAATGGAAAATGATCAAATGAGTTTTAAGGGTATTTTTGAAACTTCAATATTTTGAAAGGGTGTAGGAAACAAATAGTATTGTTATAGAGAAATATTATAAGTATTGACTCATAGTCAAAATATCATTTACCAATCCGCATTTAATGCTTTCTTGTACCACTGACCTAATTCACTTACCCAATAGTAGTTTCGTGCTTTCACCCCAAGTAGAAATTGACTAAAAGCCTAATCAACACATGCCCCGATTAAGTCACGCTTTGCATGTATAACATGGTTTACATATGGAATGTCCTAAAAACTCTAGTGTGTTCTAACAAATTCTTCACGTATTATGTCACTTCCTACAGTATCATTTTTAGGTATCCTCACACTCTCAACTCGAGCATATTGTTACTCTACTAAAACATTTAGAAACTTGGGTGTTGAAGTGCTAGTTGGTCGCCACCACCGTTTTCCCTCACTCGCTTGTGTCTCGCTTTTGGAATTCTTATTCTCTAGTTCACCATTCAACCATTTGAACATTGGCATTATTTGTGGGAATTCTTTGCATTTTCTTTCTTATTAGATGGGAATGTTTAAAACCTTCACATCACTATAATTTGACAAACCATTGAGGATAGTATGGAGACTTCTATAACTCCTTAAGAACATGTTTCTTCAACTAAACCCATACCACTTATAGTGGGTGCAAAACCCAAAGCTTACCAACAAAGTCTCAATGTGGCAATAGTTTTGACTTCAATGCCACCACCAATGATTTCTATGGTCAAAGTTGTTGCACTTTAATAATAATGAGATACTATGGAACCAAAAGGTTGTTTGATTGTTAAGCTGTAAGTTGTTGAGGTGTAATTTAGTTTCTAGATTGTTTTAGTTTTTTATAAATAGCAAACAATAATATGAAAATAAATATCCCTGATGTTTTTCAAGTAAAGTCACTTTGTTCTCTCTCGTGCATTAGCATTCGTACATTTGTGTTCCAACAATTGGTATCAAGAGCTTAGGTTCAAGGGGCTGAGCTGCATAAGAACGATATGGCAACGTCATTTGCTTCTATTCCTACCAATCTTTCGATTCTCATAACGAAGAATTATGACAATTGGAAAATACATATACGAGTGGTTATGAGGTTGTGGAATCTCGTTGAAGAAGGTTGCAAATATGTTGGTGTAGGTGGAACAGAAGCTTAACAAGTCGTAGATAAGGAGATTGAAAGGAAAGATTGCAAGGCGTTGTTCGTCCTGCATCAAAGTGTTGATGCAGCAAACTTTGAGAGGATTTCAAAAGCAGAGACATCAAATGAGGCCTGGGAGATTCTTGAAAAGGTCCATGGCAATGCAACGAAGACCAAGAAGGTAAAACTTCAAATGTTACGACGATAATATGAGCTTCTATCAATGGAGAGTAATAAGATAGTGGCTGAGTATATTACCCATGTCCAAACGATGGTGAACACAATGAAAGGTCTTGGAGAGAATTTGGTTGAGTTGCAGGTGATTGAGAAAGTGTTGCATACGCTACCTACGAAGTTTGATCACATAGTTGTGGCGATAGAAGAAACAAAGAATCTTGAAAATTTAAGTCTTGAAGAGCTTCAGGGTTCTTCGGAGTCACATGAATATAGGTTGATCGAACGGGGAGAAGAATGAAAGAACGAGCAAGCTCTCCAGGTACAAACCAATCCAAAGGAAGCTTTCAAGAAGAAAGGAAAAAACAAAAAAAAATGGAGGCAAGAAATGAACAAAAAAGATACAAAGGAGGCTTAAAATAGCAAATAGATAGCTGATTTTTAGAAAGAAAAAAAAAAAGGACACAATTTTGATATTAAAACTTTGAAATGTTATAATTATAATAAAATGGGTCATATTGCCAAGTATTGCAAGCACCATAATCCAAAAAGAGATGAAGCCTGAATGACTCAAGAAGAAGAGGATGATGACTCAGAATAAGTCTTGTTAATGGCAACCACTACCCAATCAGAAGGACTTGAAGAAAATGGTTGGTATCTTGACATAGGATGCTCAACACATATGACAGGAAGGAAAGATTGGTTTGCAAGCCTTGATGAATCAATCAAGAGCAAGGTGAAGTTTGCTGATGATCGTGTTCTAATGGCAAAAGGAGTTGGAAAGATCGTGATTAAGAAGAAGAATGGCGGCGAAACTTCCATTACAAATGTTTTGTTTGTTCTTGGAATGAAGAGTAATCTACTAAGTCTTGGCCAATTACTTGAGAGAGCATACACTTCCAGATTAGAAGATAAAATTCTCAGAGTGTATGATAAGCAAAAACATTTGATATTGAAATCACCTCTTACCAAGAATTGAACTTTCAAGGTTGAGATCGATATAGTATATCACAAATGTTTTGCGGTTACGATAAATAAGGAGGAATGGCTTTGGCATTATCATTTTGGACATCTTAACTTTAGAAATTTGCACAAAACTTGAAGTCCAAAAACATGGTGCAAGGTTTACCTCATATTTTCCCACCCAAAGAAGTCTGTAGAGAATGCATGGAGTCCAAGCATCCAAGAGATTCCTTCCAACAACATATTTCATCGAAAACAAAGGAGTAAGCATATTGAAACTAAATTTCATTATCTGAGAGATCAAGTGAATGGAAGAAAATTGGAGCTGGTATAATGCAACACCCATGATCAAGTTGTAGATGTTTTAACCAAACCAACAAAGAGAGAGAGGTTTAGATTTTTGAGAGATAAGTTGAATGTTTTTTATGTTGAATGGAGAGGGAGCAAACAATAATATGCAAATAAATCTCCCTAGTATTTTTTAAGTAAAGTCACTTTGTTCTCTCTCGTGCATTAGCGTTCGTACATTTGCATTCCAGCACAAGTGAAAAGGAATAGTGACTCAAGACACCTTCTTCCATCATAATTGAAGTTTCCACACCTTATACTAGATTTCCACGTACTCAACAAAATGAACTCCTCCACCATGAAAGCCACTTGTTTATGAGAATTATTATGAACCACTAGAAGAAGAGGTAATTCCCTTCATGTTCCTTTTTATCGACTATGTCATGATTTTCAAAGTTTCGAAGCAACTGCAACAATTTCTAGTTATAGAGTTGTATAACGACTCAACCTATCCCAATGACCACTTAATAGCTTTTGAATCAAATGTTTATTATAAGGATGTGATTGGCCCCTTGATGTGTTGAAAATTCCCTTTTTTGTTAAGCATGATGTTGTGAAGTGGTTCCAAACCCCTTCCTTAGATCCATTAACACGTGGGAGATTTACGAGAGAGGTTTCAAATTGCCTTTTTCACTAGCAAGGCGAGGCCAAAAATTGAAGTTGGTTTGAAGCACATTTGGAAAGGGAAGGATAAGCCTTTAAAAGAGTAAATAATGAGGTTCAATGAAGAAGCAGCACCAGTCAAAAACTTGTTTTTGAGAATAATGTTGATATTGGCCAAGGAGGGTATTATAGAGGGAATTTTTTTCACAAGACTATGTTGAAGTCTCCACTAACCTAAATGGATGAATTCTTCTATAAAGATGAAAAATATATAAATTATGAAAATACACTTGAAGCCTCAACGAACAAGATGGAAGGGCATGAGAAGAAATAGAAGTCAGATCAAGAAAAATCGATGAAGTTGAAAATTAGAATGTCCCTTCACCTTCTCAGTTCAATGATTATACTCCTCTTAAAACTTCTCAAGGAAGGATCCTAAGTGAACTCTTCAATACCAAATTTAGGGAAGAAAAGATTAAGCATCCTAAGCCCCTACACTTAAAGGGCATCAAAAGAATTAATAAGGAAGGCAAGATCCATCATTACATCCAAGACATTGGGAGCATGAGCCATGGAAATAAAGACAAGAGTCCAAACCAAGAGACTAAGTAGAAATGTTCTAGGAGTCCAAGTAGAAGTAATGTTATACATATTCAACTAGTACGTTACTCTACCACTAATCACTCTTGCCTATCCCGAAAGGGTCTTCAAGCCATCCTAAATAGTAATAAGTGAACCAACGCAAATGAAAAAATTCAAATCCCACCCTAAAAACTTAAAAAGAATCAAACCTTCATGGACAAAATCATAAAGGTTTTCCTTTGAACAGGAGAAATGTGCAACTAAAATAGTTACTTTCATGCAATTATCTCCCAAAAAGAAAATCTCCCCTCTAAGGCAAGATGAGTCCTATAAGTCAAAAACGTAGAAATAAAGGAAGAGGGTCAGTGCAATGGTACCTAGTGTTGAAAAATGAACAAAGAGGTGACAAAGAAAGTAAGTCAGAACAAGGAAAAGAAGAAAAGTCAAAGTAGAAGGAAAGCAATTTTCGGCACTACAGTTTGTAGGTGTGAAGAAGAAGAAAGATCGAAAACATATAAAAGAACTACTTTAAAAAATCAAGAAAAACATAATCATTTAAAGGGGTAATGAATGAGTGTGTTGTAAAATCATCCTCAAAGGTTGGAATGATTGAGAGCATTGCAAATGTGGCTCTAAGAGGAAGTGGAACAATTGAAGGTGCTTAAATTGTCTCTCGACTCATGTATCAAATTATCAATCGACAACCCAATTAGTACAACTTGATGCCAACTTAGGGGACAAGTGTTATAGAGGTAATTCAAATGTACTCTAATTAGCACAAAACTCTAACTTTTTATTGACTAATGGCAATTGTTATGGAGAAATATTTTAAGGACAAATCCATAATCAGAATATCCTTTTACCAATTGATATTCAACAATTTATGCTATTATAGTGACCTAACTCATTTACCCAATAATAGCTTTGAGCTTGCACTCAAGGTAGAAAATGACTAAAAGTTGTATTTCTTAAGAATGTTGTACATGATGTATGTTGTATTAGCTATTGTATGTTGTGGATGCACTAGTACAGAATATACATTCTACGTCGGTTATTTGAGGGATTTTACGTCGAAAAAGTCATCGACGTAGAAGCAGGAGACGTAAATTTACGTCGGTAGTAAAAAACCGACGTAAATTTACGTCGGACATAACAAGTCCGACGTAAAAGTTGTAAAAAAATTTAAAAAAAAAAAAGAAAAAAGTCTGCAAGCAGAACGACCCGTTCTGAAACCCAGACTTGGCTTTTCTTCTGGCTTTTCCTCCTCCTTATTTTCCTCTGCTGGTTTTTCCTCTAGCTTCTCTTCTCTAGTCCCTAGAACTCAACTTGACATCATCATTTCCAGCATCTAAAATCAAAAACAGAAAAATGAGAAGACGTAATAAAAACCACACCTCTTGAAGACGTAGCATCTAGATCAACTATCAAGGCACAAAACTGGATCTGAGAAACTTGACGTAACTGGATCTGAGAAACTTGACGTAACTGGATCTGATACTCTCGTTCTGTGCGTGAGCACTCCACTTGCTGGGAGCGTTTTCCCAGTGCGCGGAGCCCCAACGAGGAAGGTGTTTGTGGTTTATCATTGGGTCAATAATGCTAATCCCTCTTTTTTTTGTGCTACTCCTAGGGCGGGAAGAAGATAAGAAAGCGCTGCCCTCTCTCGGCTAGATGTTGGTCCAACCTAGTTACTACGAGGATCTCGTATCCAGCAACGTTATATGGGAAAATTTACGTCGGACAAGGGGGTCCGACGTAAATTAGCCAATCTACGTCGGCTACAACATAGTCCGACGTAAATTGTCTAATTACGTCGGACCCCATATGTCTGACGTAAATTTTCCCCTCTATATTTATGAAACTGTCACCGCGTTTTTACACCGTCGGCTGTTCCAGTTTCCGACGTAAATGAGGAGACGTAGTAGCCCCTTTTTGCACTAGTGATGACGATAGTAACTTGATATTTCTAAGTCATTTATGTTGCTTAAGTTGTGATTTCACTATTTATTGTTATATTGATTCTTTCACAGTTATATGTTTTCTTTCCTTGTTGTTGGACTGCAGTAATCATACTTGATATGAGAGTAAGGCAAGATTAGCTTAGATGACTTGGTTGTTGGTGGATGATCATGTTAGAGATGACCTGTTTCATGTATACTACTCTGATGTAGTATTATTGTATATAGACACTTGATCAACAATAAGGTTATTTTGTATTTAGTAGTGCATATTGATGTATATTATGTATATGTCCATGGGTTATATATAATTCCATAAGGGGCTTTATATTTTTTTTCCAATTATATTGGCATGAATTGTTTTATATTTTCTACTTCCTATACATATATCTATTGTATGAATATCCAAGTGTTGTTGCATGAGAACCCTAGTATAGCTTATTATTTTATATTTTTCATTGCGTGGTAACTATGATTTATTAAGTGTAGTGACTTGACGAATTGTTATATGTCTAACTGCCTTTAAGATCAATGATTGTACCCACAAAGCCAACAAAAACTTTTCAATGTGTTTTTTCCTCACTTGCACACTTTTTGGGAAACTTCCTAGTTCCTAGAAGGTTATTCATCCCTAAATTGCTCTAAACCAAATACATTTAACTATGAAGTTCTTAAATGATGAGTTAATGAAAAGTATATGCTTCTTATTAGTATAAGTAGTACTAGTTAATTCTTTTAAATCATTCTCAACTGTACACTCTCACACCAATACTAATCTTTGGATCACTTTCATTCTAATATGTCTAGGTTGTTACACTAACTATTATTTCCTCTCTTTTAATTAACCATTTATTTTCCTCTTTTCTCCTCTTTTCTTTCATTTTCAATCTCTCTGTTTTCATGCTTAATATATAGTAGGGATGACAAAATGGACCCTGACTGCAAAAAAATTGGCAAGCTGAGTTGGACATCCTAGTTTGCCTACCTAACTTGCTAGTCCGTTGAACCAAATGGTGGGCCAAGGTTGGTTGGTTCGTCAATCTGCCTAATTTTTATTTATTTATTTATTTATTATTGTATTTTTAATATTAAATTTAAATAAGTTACAAGAAATTTATTATGTGAGTAATTTGTAATTTGTTGCACAACAAATATATTATGCGTTTGATTTATTTTATTATATGTAATTTGAGAAGTTTTTGCGTAATAAATTTGTTGAAGCAGTTATTATTATTATAATTAATATATATTTTATGAGTTAATCACCTATACACTGCTAGTGTAAATTTTTTTACATTGACAACCAATCATATCTTTTGATAGTGTCATGTCAGTTGCTTATTTAATAAAATAATAATAAAATAAGCAACTTTAAAATATATGATTGGTTGTCAGTGTAAAATTTTTTACACTGACAGTATATAGATGATTAACTCATATTTTATTATGTAACAAATTTGAGATCTATTGTATAACAAATAAAACTAATTTTTTTGTAATTTGATATTTATTTTATTATTTAGGT